TGTCGGTGTCAGAACAGGACCAACAGTACTTGTAGCTCAGAACTGACATTTTATAACAGACTGCTGACATTCCTTCGCAAGCAAAGAAGACAAGTGCTGAATGCAATAGGACTAGACAAAAACTGCACCTCTAGTTCAAAAGCTGGTACTCAAAACATCCTCAAGACGTCCAAATTGCATGGGTACATCGACAGAGATGATCGCAATGGACTGCACTGCTAGTTTAGTCGGAATATGTCGTGGTTTTGGCGGAATAAAAGTGAATTCTCCGACAATTCAGACATTTCATGAGTCCTGCTTCTACATCGTGATACATTCAGATTAAAGATTGGGGTAGAAGCACTTTGCTCCATTGTGAGATGAATAAAGTTGATCTTATATAAGCTTTCACATGCATGTATTTTTGGCTTCTGTCAAATTATTAAGACAGAAAGTGAAAAAGAAGAGACCATCCTCACAATTCCCAAAGGGCTTGTTCTTAAAATGAATGCAGTCTGATATTACGTTTTTTGTTTTTTTGTTTTACATCTTTCTAGCCTGGTCGTACCACACCATAGTACGAGTTACATTTCGTACTAAGGTCTGGAGGTGCTCCATTGAGCTCCGTTTACAGATAGGAGGGGTTTACTCCTTTTGCAGATTGAAACCATTGCATCTGAGATTACTATGACGTATGTAGTGCGCCCGAGTCTGTTGTTAGCCTTTAGCATTTAGCCTAGCCGTCTCCTTTGCCGCTAACAGAGCCCATGGGGAGTAGGGCCACAATTTTTATTTCTCCGGCTTCAGTTTCTTGATAGAACCAGACCAGATTACTTTACTATCGCATTTTTTGCCATTGCCAAACCACAACCTTCCTGTTCGACGCAAACTCTTGACGTCACCCACAACTAACTACAACACCCGCCTTCCGCTCTCTCTGATTGGTCGGTCGAAATTCAACCGATTGTAATCGCTGACACAGGGACCAGACCCAGACGTTATATGCAGTGAAATGATGATTGAGCGCAGTGTACGGATGGATAAGGCCAGGCTAACATTTTTCTGTTGGGACAAAAAACAGTATATTTTATGAGGATTAAAAAACTTCCTCAACTTAAGGGCTTTATTATATTTTTAGGCGGCTGTTAAAATAAAAGTTGCACACACATATTGCATGATGGATCATTTTTTTTCAGAATATAATATAACCTATTCTATGTGTTGTATTTGTATGATTGCTTGAATAATAAAAAGTTTTGACAGTTTGATTTTTAATATTTATATATTTTTTCTCCTGTTAGAAAAGCTAACAGAGAACATTAGCAGCGGCCCATTTATTAGACATGTCCGCTTGTCTGCTGCTTCTCTCTCTCTCAGCTGCTAACTTCCATTTCCCCACCCAATATAAAACAAATGTTTACAAAATTGTGTATTTGTGAAAAGCCAAGAAGACTCTGGCCTGGAGTGCAAAGTCAGTCAGTTTTATTGTGACAGCGCCAAGTACACGGGGACTATGCATGAGGCTGCATTGGGCACATACAAATGAGGAGCTTCTCTATATGCCCATAGTAAATCCAATAGAGCAGAGGACACAGAGGCACGCTTACATAACAGCCAAATGTAATCTCACATCGGAGTTATATTCGCTGATTATGCAAGCAGAACTACTGATTGATGACTCACCCCAAATTCAATTATCATCCTAAACAGTTTTATCTGGGAAATCAGATTAGGAATTTTGTTGTATAAAAAGCAGCATGTAAATCAAAGAGACGAACGGTTATTTCTGGTTGCATCAATTTGTTTTCCCGAGCCACAACATTTATGGGGTGTTTTTTTTTTCGTTTGCTTATTATTTTCTTCAAGGCAATTCAAAGTTTGTGGGCAAGTTTAGAATCTTGCAGAGATAGGGATATACTGAATATGGCGTCTCAAGTTCAAGTTCAGGGGCAGGGGAATGTGAAAGGATACGGAGAAAAGCTGTTGATGAGAAAAGGTCATTATTGTATGGGTCAACGGATGCATAACGGATGCCTTAATATCACTTTTTTGCCCTAAAACTGTGTAACAGAATATATAAAGTGTATTGTGTTAAATGAAGGCGTAGTATTGATTCGGATTTCAACACTTTCAGGCGTGGTGCAGCCCATTTTGTGAGCCGTTTCTAGGCTAATCCCTGCTTTATGAATTGGGCTAATTTTAGTGCCCGATAAAGACACTTTGAAACTCTTCCAAAGTACAGTGTATCTGCAGAGGGACTCCTACAGTACAGCAAAAGACAAGAGAATAGGTGAAAACATTATTTGGGACAGTTTGTTTTTCTTTAAAATTCAGATATACCAATGGACCAAGCAGTTTTTATTTCTCAACAGTGAGAAGTACCATGTCTTTTCCCATCATAAATCATACATAGCATGTAAAAATGTTTCTCCCGCTTTTGACCAGTTTTACAATATGCTGACCGTTAACTTCTTCTATGATTTGAGCATAGCCTGTGGGGTCCTTGATGTGACCATGTGTTCGCTGACTTAAGTGGGTCAGAGGTGAAACGGCAGGACTACATGGTTCAGGATTAATACATTATTTGACATTAATTATATGTCAAAGATACCAAATATAGAGAATAATAGGCTTGGCTGTCATAGATTATAGCTGTAGCAGACAGGAGCATGTCATAATGCATCTAATCATTAAAAGACATTTTACGCACATTTCACAAAACACAATGATGTGTTATTAAACAAATAATTCACTTCATTAAAACTTGTTTATTATTTATAATTTGAAAATGTGTCATTTACGCTATTACATAATTATTAGTGAATGAAGCCCCGTAACTAGAGATGCACCGATACGATACTGGTACTGGGTATCGGGTCGATACAATAGTACTAATACCATAGGCAGACAGCTGTTGCCATGGTGATCAAAGTCGTTTGGAAGAAAGCACGCTAGCAGCAGGCGGACAGGATGTCGGCCGCATGGCAGTTTTTCAAAGTAAACGAGAGTGACCAGAGTATAGTGGACTGAACAATGTATGAGGTGGGTCCAAAACAAACACGTATAACACCAGAAACTTGATCAAACATCTGAAAACTACCACACGAAGTATAACACCTTTGCTAGCACCGGAGAACAAAAACAACCAACTCTACCACAAACTTTTATATTATTAATTTAAGTTTAAACATGATGTGTGACTCTAAATCTCTCAGTGCTGTGTAATGGCAACTATTTCTTATACCTTTGTATGAATGGAATATGTCAGTGGTTCTTGTTGTCGACTGCTAAAACAATTGCTAAAATGTTTAAATGTTTTATTTATTTATTTATTTATTGTGTTTATTTGAACATTGAATAAATGTATAAGAAAAAAAGACAGTAAGAAAATAAAGAAAACTTATTCACGTTCAAAAGGAGTAGGAAGAAGCCAAAGCTTATTAAGTCCTTCCCCTCTTCCCTATGTTCATTCAATATATTGAAATAAGGTAAGCAAATATACTAATATACATACATACACACACATATACATACTGTACATACATATATAATTACAGTTAATAATAAAATAAAATAAATGAACAGTAACAGTAAATAACAGTAACAAACATGCTCTCTTTATTTTACTTTGAACCCTTTATATTTAGACATTGTTTCAATTCTTCACACAACCTGTTCCATATTTGTACTCCACTGAATTAAATACAAAATCTCTTGTTTGTTTGTTCGTATTCTGATGACTTTGAATTTATTTAACCTCCTTAATTGATAACCCCCATCTCGACCCGTAAAGATGTTTTGTATATTATTTGGTAGTAGCTGTGCTTTAGCTAAATGTTAAAGCATTTGTTATTGTTTGAAATTAAATAAAACATTTAACATTTCAGTTGTATTAGTTTAATCAATTCCCAGGCATAACACAATGCAGTACTCATATTGGTATTTGGTATCGGCAAGTTCTCAAATTAAGGTACTCATATCGGTTTTGAAAAGGCTGTTTTTTTGCCCGTTTTTTACTATTCTCTTTCGTTTTTTCAACATGGTGAAAGGTAGTGATCCACCCTGGCCTTACCCCATCTGTACACTCCGCTCGATCATCGTTTCACTGCATGTAGCGTCTGGGTCTGGTCCCTGTGTTAGCGATTACAATCGGTCGTATTTTGACCGGCTACTCAGAGAGCGCGTTGTAGGTCGGTGCCGGTGACATCAAGAGTTTGCGCCGAACGGGCAGGTTGTAGTTTGGCAATGGCGAAGAATGCGATAGTAAAGTAATCCGGTCTGGTTCTATCAAGAAATTGAAGCAGGAGCAAGAGGAATGTTTAACAAATGTAATCGCTGGTCAAGATTGTGGCGCTACTCCCCACGGGCTCCGTTAGCAGCGAAGGAGATGGCTAGGCTAAATGCTAAATGCTAACAACAGACTCGGGCGCATTACGTCACGGTAAACTCAGATCCAATCGTTTCAGTCTGCAAAAGGAGTTAACCCCTCCCACCTGTTAACGGAATCAATGGAGCAAATCCAGACCTTAATACGAAATTAAATTTGTACTATGGTGTGGTACAACCAGGCTAGTACTGATCGTGTCCAGTTTGCATTCTGCAGTTGAAGACGTAAGTGATAAAACGTATGATAACTGAAGTCTAGACAATGTATGTAAACAGAGGCAACTCTTAAACTACATGAAAGCATTGTAGATAACAACATTTATGAACTGTATTAACTAGAAGTATCTTCACTACACAACATCAGAAATAGTAATGCATCATTCATACTGCGTCTATCCACTGAAGGCTGTAGGAGTTGGACTGGTTGGAGTCGTGTTTGAGGTTTGAAAGCCAGGTACAGCTACAATTCAAGCCTTAGAGAACGTATGTATCCGAAGTTCCAGTAAATTTGAGAAGATTTTAAAGCAAAAGAAGCATTTGTCTACATTGTTTTGTGTACTCTTTCTGTGTGTAATGTGTGATTTCCCCACTGTGACATGGTTAAAGGATCTTTCGTGAGCTCTTAAGTTACTCACAGGCATGGTTTGGCTGCCGTGGAGAGCGCTGATGGCGGACTGAGCCTCGGTGTGCGTGGAGAACTTGACAAAGGCGCACCCTGCAAAAAGAGGACACAACATCAGACGCATTCAATTTGTCGTTACATTACCGCTACTGTAAGCTAGTAAATTATAGTTGACACCCTAAAAATGAGCGCGCCGAGCCAGATAGTGAGTGCTCAGCAGGCTATCCCGGTCTGGGTATTAGGCGAGCAGACAAGCAGGCAGGCGCTGGGGGCTAAACATTGCACTGATGGAGCAGAAAAGCATGTATTTAGCACCACATGCCTGTCTGTGCATATTAAAAGCTGGCTAAACTGGGTAATCTTATAGCGTTTTCTGAAAGAGGATAACGGTTCCATATTGCCCCCGCAGCGACACGTTCGAGAGAAAACAAAAAAGCAGTCCAAAAGCTCTGAACAAAGGGACTGCTGATATTCTTCTGTTCAGTTCCGCTACGTTCTGGCTTTCATCATTTTGGTAAATATAATCCCGGAACTCAACGATGAAGCAACAATTCTTATATATTTGATGGTAAATTTGTTTTTGGTTCATGTCGTAGCAGATGATTGACTGAATATGTCAAATAACGCACTCTGTTATCAATTGCAAAGTATCAGGTTACCATATATACATTTTATTTTTGTCATTTACTACTATATATATTTTGGAATGACCCATAACTTTCACAAGAATAAATGACAAGCAAATGGAAATCAGTGCTGCTATAAAATGCAAAATGGACATTTTTGAGTTATTAATCATTTTACAACATTGTTCCTCATCAAAAAAATAAGTGGAGTTGTTATTAATCTATCCATGCTTCTCTCAGTAACCTCTGGCACAAACATGTATCATCAGCCCTTCTGTCCTAAAGTACAGTATAAAAGTACGTTGTCATTGTATATTTCACTTTTACACATTTAACGTTTGTAATGAGCATTAGATCTTTCTTTTAGATCATTCACTTTTCTCAGCTGAAACTACGGTCTTAACCATCCCATGGCTGTGCTTTTAGCCAGTAATAAAACAAATTCTCTCCCTGCTGGTAGTGAGTTTTTACCCTTATACTTGTTACACCTTGTATTTTCTGTTTAAAGACCTTATGCCGGGTTTGATTTATTTAGAAATACAGTTTTAATACCATTTTATATTAGAAGAGAACTACTAAAGGTTTCAAGATCAGTTGTTGTTTTTTTTGTCTGATCCCCCCAAATCAAAATAACCCCATAGCAACGCCCTTAGAGACGAAAAAACTTCACAGCCCTTGGTGACGTCAGAGTGGGTACGTTTCAACGCTGTAAGTTGTTTACAATTTGGTATTTGTTCTTTTTTCGCGAATATTCAAGATGACAAGGCTGTGTACAGCGAGTCTCAGATAACTACTAGAATGTAACATTTCGTTGTCACTGAGATAGTCCAGTGGTTGTGTCACTCTCAAAACGGCAATGTATGTGTAGTGAGCAATTGTCACCTGTAGAGGGCAGTATTGTGTTGGGCATCAGTGGAGAGAAGAGAGAAAAGGCAGTCCTGTGGCATAGATCCATGATTTTCAATGCATGGGCGTTACCCGCTGTGACGTCACACACAGGCCGGAATCTCTTTCAGATTGACATTGTCATGCAATTTTTATATCCACAATTAAAAAAAAAAAACCCGGCATAAGGTCTTTAAGATATCATTTGACATTCTAAAACATGATTTACTAAATTAAAAAGTCAAGTAAAAAATGTGTAATGGCCAAAATAATGCACGTTATTTCTACTTCCATCTTTTCTATTCTGTGTATGTTGCTGTACAAAAAATAAAGTTTCAAACATGTGGTAACATTGATGTGACATGAGTTTTAAGTGAAAAGCCCTGACCTCAATTCAAATGACACACATTATGTAAAGCTGTCTCTTTTTTTAGTCATAAAACATGTTAAAATATTGTTCCTTCATAAAAAAAACCGTCCTGGAGTTGTTCTCAGATCCAGCCCCGGCATACAAGAACTGTGTAAAAGCTTGAATGGAGCCATTTCTGCCTTTTAAATCAAAGAAATTAAACTTAAATTAGGTTTTGGATGTATGCATTCTTTATATCTGTGGCCATTTTAAAAACATAATTATATATAACAGTTATTTTAATGTTTATTGTTATCTCACATTGTACAACAGGAAAACCCAAATTATGTATTCTCAGACTCCTGTTTAAGACAAAAGGGAACACAAACAATGCATAACAATGGATTTCAATACTAACGCAAAAGAGCCTGTAACAATAATAAGAGTGTAAAATATTTTTTTTCTCAAAATAATTTAGATTAACAATGCGACCTTCAGCGATGCAAGTTCAATTGACAGTGGAAAGTAATACGGAAGAAGAAAGCAGAGAGCACAGACATGGGAAAGATGAGATTTTGAGAGGAAATATAAGGCTTTGGCGCTGCACCTGTGTCCAGCCTTTGAGCCTTGTAATAACAGCCCATTTCACTCCTTTTCAACTTTTCCCTCTGTTCTTATTAAATATTTCATATGTGGTTCCCCTTATCATTTATCCTCCTTGACCTGGCTATCCTGACATTCTTACACCCTTAATGGGCTTATACCGCGGTGAGCAGCGGCCAATCGAGACGCCCTGACCTCCATAAGGACTTTGATATCAACCAGAACACCATCTCCATTCCATCGCATTAGATATGTCACCGCTACATGATGTAAGTATAGTTGACCTATACTTTTAAAAAATATATCAAATTATGTCTTAGAAATATGCAAACACTCCAATTTCAATACACATAGCACATTGTTTAACCAAAACCGTTTATTAAGAGCTGTCCATAACAAAGCACGGTCAAAGCTCGACTTAGAAGTGATAGGAGACCTGTGGAACTATTAGTAACTCGTCAACTCCTTCAAAGTAGGTCCCAAAAGGAATTTCAAATAATATTTGTGCCCTACCTGTTGTATATAAAGTATTTTATTTTGTAAATAGGGACATTTGACCCATCCTGATGCCACTAAGGCTTACGTCAGGAGCAGTGGTCGCCGTAGTAACATTGTCCGGGAACCCATCTCCAGATGTTAATGCTCGGCTTGGTCAGGAGCTGGAGGATTTAACATAGTGAGCATATTTTTAGCGGTAGGGGAGACCATAGCACCCAGAGGAAACCTACGCAGACACGGGGAGAACATGCAAACTCCACACAGAAAGGCCCTGATCCGACCAGGATTCGAACCCAGGACCTTCTTGCTGAGAGGCGAGAGTGCTATCCACTCAGCCACCGTCCCGCCGCTATGCTGTGCACTAATAAATGGATAAAGATTAGTTACCGTGTCACCATTATACAGTATGGACTGAATTTCTTAAACGGGTATCTCTCCTTAAAAGTAGCTCCACTTAAAAATACAATACAATTACATAATCTATATGAGGCACAGAGGCTAATTATCCTGTGTTCACAAATGGTGTCATTTATCTGGATGCATTATCAAAACTAACTTGGGAGGTTTTGTTTTAAAAGGCAGAATAACATTTGTCTTTGTTGATGCAATTTTGCTGACAAATTGTGAATTGCCAAACTAAAAGACAAAGCATTTAAAGAAGAAGCAGGGAGATGAGTTTTTGATTTTATATAACAAAATCCATGTCTGTTTTTGATGAGAGAACCATGTCAAATGCCCACTTGTTTAGAGCATATAATGTCTCCTTTAATTCCAGTCTGTAGTAATGTTTGCTTCACTGAAATACCTAAATGCTTTTTGATGGCTGTGATATTGCAGACATCCACACACAGCAGATATTGCGAATGTAACCTCCCTACACTGCTCCCATCCTCTCAGTCGGACACTTGAATTGTTTTGACATCCATCACTCCCTTTCTCCTCCTCCCTCTAAAACCTCCAACTCACAACTTCAAACCCCCATAGATATAATTCCACAACAATTTCCATAAGCGCTGACCGGGGAATAGGCTTTGGAGACATGAAAAACCACTCGTCCCTCTCCTCTTTGCCGCATGTCAAAGGGAATTCTTGTCTTCAAAAGTTTGGCTGTCCTAAAAAGCCTGGGAGATATCAGTGGGACAGTGGTCAGCCCTACTGTACGGGTCACTGCAGTCACTTCTCCAGAGAAGGAACTAATGCTGTTTAATAAATACAGATTTTCAGCAGCTACTTATGAGCAAAAGTAAAGAATACGTCTTTTTGAGCTTTTAAACATGAATTAAACCGATCATTCGCTCGTCACGCTTTCTCACGCTTCTCTGTTGCTATACGCCGCCACAAATCCTCTGCAATTTTGTGCCTATTAAAACAAAAGCATATTCTCCAAATTAGTTTGGGGAGTTTCCCAAGACAAATTACATAAACCTTCCCTCCAGAGAATTGTGTTTTTCCAGTATACAATTTCACTAATCTTTTAAGTGACAGAAATAAATTGAGAAAATATACGCTGAGCTAGCATTAGTCCTAACAGTCCCAGTCGAGGAAATAGAGATGAACAATCACTCATGAACCTAGATGAAAACTATATTGTATGTTAGAAGACTTAGGTTGCCCAGCCTCATTCAGTGTTTTTTATAAGAACACGTTTGAGACAACCTTTGGCACTAAACAATGTATTTTACAGTTCTGTTTCCCTATTGCCTCAGTTACAACCGTACACCACACAAAAAGACTGCATTGTTTCTCTGGAAGTCAGCGAAGTGAAGACTCCCGACTGTCGGCTGTGTTTGTGGCCGCAGATGCTACGCAGGCTAATGCATTTGTCATAAAAGTACTTAAAATTGTTATAATTGACCTGTCAAAAAAACCCAAAACGTTTCCACCATGATTTCACATTTAGTATTGAGTCTACACTTGTTAAGAGTTTTAAATATCAGTCTTGTGACAACAAAAGTTAGATGCTAAATTATAAAAGCACAGTGCAAGTTTTGTTTCTTATTCCATTTTTATGTCTATCCATAAATATATGAGTTCAAGTTCCAAACCATGACATGTACATTCTTATGTATGTATCAGGGGCAAAATGAGCCGGTCTAATAATGCATAGTATTCGACATATAGTCAAAATGTCCTGTAAATGTACTGTCAGCGCGGCAGATCACAGGAATGTTTGAGACAAATGCTGAATAAACGGAGCGCGAGAATTTGATAACTCAGCATTTCACCCACTTTTTTTTCAAAAACGCTTTTTATCCTGGCGGCAATTCTTTATTCTGTGTGGAAAGAATGGTTAAACCTACCCTCTTTGAGTACTATCAATGATCTCTTTTGGGAAACTTTAAGCGAAAGAAGCCGCTATTATCCTTGTAAAATTTGAACATACTTTAAAGCAATTGGATTTTGAGAGTTCTGAGCGTAGCACTTTGAAAGTGTTCAAGACCGGCTTAGAGAGACAATAAAGGAGCGAGAGTGGATAAAAACATGTGCCTGAAGAGCAACCGCTGCCAAGGCACTATTCCAAGATTCAATGACCAATCACGATGCAGACGGCCAAAAAAGGGAGAATTTCTAACGACACTTAAAGCTGGAATACCAACTTTCAAACCACTGACAATCAAACTTATTATTAATGTTATACAAATACAAATACAATACATTATAGTTCCTGGCTCTAAAACAGTTTTGTTATATTATTTGTTTTTTACAGCAACCGGTAGATGAGAATGTATTGCTCATCCTAACCATCTCTTGTTCCACTAAACATGTTAATCCAGATCTATCTGAGAGATTCACATTGTGAAAAAAGATAATTTAAAAAAATTAAAACTGCTGCAAAAACATTGTTCTTGACACATTTCTTTTTCAAGGTTTCTCAGAACAAAGTACCAATACATCAATTAAAGGAGCAATTTATGATAATCTATCCAAACAGTGGTACTGCAGCCTCTCCCACTCTCCCTGACTCAGGTTGCCAGATATGCAGACGAATCTAGCTGGGACCATAACAGCTGAATAGACAATAGTTTTGTTAAAAACAAATCTTTAACCAACACCTTTTTCACAAAACCCCCGATATATAATCTTGTTTTCTTCCTTGTTTTGTCATGAATGATTTGAGAATCATAACAAGACTTTATTTTAATACTGCCGCCTGACATGTTACTTTACCAATGACACGGTGAGTTCTGGTAACCCCAATCACGGACTTTCTGATTAGTGAAACGGTGGAGGGCGGGACATTGAAATGAAAACAAAAACAAGATTTAGAAGCTGTAAAACTCATTTTGAAATTCAAATATCTCTGAACTACTGTTATCCTGTTATCAGTTAAGGAAGTACTGGAAAAGAGCTTGTTATATTAATGCCTTTTGACGTATTAGGGCCATTTAATGATGACTTCTTACATATTGCTACTATGTACTAATTTAGATTTTTTTTTTCCAATCTCTGAAAGTATTTAAAATCCGGATAATATGGAAACGCACAGAAAACACAAACTCACACAATTCCTCAAAATTGGAAAACTATTTAAAAAGTTCATCAAGCGTTGTATTAATTCGAACTCCATTTCCATAAAGTGATAAACTTCAGAAAAGCTTTATGGCAAAGTCAAACCAAGGATTTCTCAACTTCACTTCTCATTAACAACCCCATACATCAATCAGAAATACATCTGACATAACTAGCTAATTTATATATATACCTGGGAGATTGACACATGCAAAATTTGACTAATTATATGAGAATGCCGTCCGGCCCACATCTGATGCATATGTCACATGTATTTTTGAACCGTGGGGAGAAAGCTGTCAGCTGCGATCGGTTGACCTAAATGAGCTTGACAAGTGCACGTACGCGTACCTTTGCTGTTTCCGTCCGGACCTCTTAGGACCGTGCACTCCTCGATCACTCCGTAGGGTTCGAAGAGGCGGTACACGTCTTCCTCCGTCTGCTGTTTGTTTAGCATGCCCACAAACAACTTCCTGTCTTCTGCAAAACACAAAGGGGAAAGGAAAGAGGTGAAGCCAGAGATGTTTGGAGAGAGTGACTGTGTACACGAAGCACAAGCAGCGTGAGTGGCATCTGCGTTTTGTTATGTGTGTGAACAATACATGTTTGTGCTGCTTACATACCACCACAATACGCTGTTACACAAAGGATCAGTTTAGTTTTTTTGTATGGGGCAAAGTGTGTTAATGTAGCATGTTCTGCAATATCACCATGAACTATTGCACATCGTCTTAGTGGAGGGGAAAACCAGAACACCCGGAGGAAACCTTTGCAGATATCTAAACGGATGCCACCTCTCCCCACATCAGCTACAGTACCTGTTTTAGGATTGCCAGCCTGTATCCAGGACCTCATCATTTCTAAGCTCATACCTTCATTACTCTGAAGCCCATACATACTATGATATGTTTTCTATGATTGTGGTATGTATCAAAAAACAAGTCCATCCATCCATCCATCCATTTTCTTCCCCTTAATCCATTTCTGGGTCGGGGGGGTGGCAGTCAGAGCTGCACCCAGTACACATAGCACCAGCCCCTCACTGATCCTCCTGCAGGTGGTGAGTCCACAGGAGCTGAGATCTTTCAGTGGGAGCTTCAGGCAAAGTGGGGTTAAGTGTCTTGCCCAAGGACACAACGACAGCAGTCATCAGTGGGAGTCGTGAAGTAGGTCTTATGGTGGGCTTGAACCCACGACCTTCAGGCCCAAAGGCCAATGCTCTACCAACTGAGCTACTGTCGCCCCAAAAATAAAAAAATAAAACATATAAAAACAAGTCTACTGACTGACAAAAAAGGCCCCAAGGTTCACTCTTATTGCAGCTTTAAATAGATACAGTATATGATAATGGAAAACAACTTAAATACTCTTAGAAGTGGTTCTGCACAAAATGTGTTCTTTACAGTGAACTACTTTGTTGTTCTTATCATTTGGCAACTAATGAACCTGACCTAAGTCTTTAACCCTAACCCTAACTTATATAATAATAATAATAATGCATCGGTTTTACTGTATACAGCGCTTTTCTGGACACTAAAAGACGCTTTACATCTCATTATTCATTCACACCATACACGGTGGTGATAAACTACTATTGTAGCCACAGCTGCCCTGGGGCACACTGACAGAAGTGAGGCAACCAGTCTGTGCCATCGGCCCCTCCGACCACCACCAACCATTCACACACACACCAGACTCATTCTAGGCAATGGGGGTAAAGTGTCTTGCCTAAGGACACAGCGGCAGTTTGGCACTTTACAGCCGCAGCCGCCTCACTGTGGCATCTGGTGTTCCCAGAGGTTAAGTGCCAAGGACACAACGACAATAGACATCAGTGGGAGTTGGTGGAGAAAGTCTTGTGGTGGGCTCGACCCCACGACCTTCTGGCTCAAAGGCCAATGCTCCACCAACCGAGCTACTGTCGCCCGCAGTAGCTCAGTTGTATTGAGGAAGCATTTCCCAAACACCTTCTGGCCAAACTGCAAGTGATTGTTTAACTATGATTTATGAAGTGATATGGTTAATCACAGCTGAGAACTAAAAGCAGTTCAGAACAGCCAAATTGATTAAAAAACGGCATGTCCCAAGGCACTCGAATGCAGCATTAGTCCTATCAGGAGCGGCCCAATGGCTTCTGCACGGGGGTAAGTGAGTGGTCAGCAGCTCGAGGAGAGGGCAACGGGACGACTAATGAAGAGGTTTCAAACTCTGACGCACCCCAAGTCCAGCCCAAGACAATGAGCACGTCTTTGGCTGTTTAAGACACCAGGGGCCTACAGTCTGCGCCGCCTCCACACTCGCCCCTCTCTCCCCCCTCATCCCCCTTTTCAAATTATACTCTTTTTCTTGCGCTGATTCTACATTTTTCACTCTCATTCTTCCCTGCGACCTCCCTTCCTCTCTTTATCTCTTTCTTACTCTACTAATTGCTGCTGATCCAGTGTATTTTTGTGAAGCAGGAGAAATATTTCAGCGGGGTCTTTACTGAACAATAGTTTGTCTCTCTTGTGGGAGCGACCAAGGCTGGGTGATGTGCCATGAATAACGCTGACTTTTCAATAGATAGCCTGTATGCTTGACTCCTGTTAAATGCTTGGGGATGTGATCTCTACCTTGACCTGCCAGACTGTGTTTACTGATGTGCTCAAGCCTTGTATGATTAATGCTACAGTTCACAGCCGTTCCTTTTGTCGGAGCGTTTCTCAAACTCTGACCCATGAAGCCGCAGCGGTGAGACCGGGAGAGGGGCCTGAGGTTGAGGGGGTCCGTGATTTTCTGCCAGGAGGTGCATAGGGCTGTCAGGACGTCCCGCGATGAGGCCCAAGAGCACGGTGATCTGTCGGACTATGACCCGGACACGAGCTAATGCGCACGTCCATACAAAGGAAGTAAAGGCGATATACTGCTGCTTTTCTGTTCATTCATGTATTTCAACACCGTATGCCATGTGTAAAGTGAAATAATTTAAAAAAGACATGGGAACCCGTTTGAATGTTAGACGTAAAAAATATTTTACATTTATTGGAGCTGAAAATGCCTTAAAGATGATTGCTTATTGTCTCCTCATAGATACTAGAGCAAGAGCACACCAGACCTCACCCATTTCCTCAAATCTTCAGGTTAAAACTGGACTCTTCAGAGTAAATGGGTGGAATCTGCAGCCACACCGGTCCTTTGAGGACTGGTTTGACACGTTTGTTCTAAACCTTAGAAAGAAACAACTTGAGCTTTGAACCATGTGACTGTGACTCATCAGTCACAGACCTGGAGCTGTCTTTAGCTCCATCCTCACTGGAACTTCTGGCTAAAACATAAGCTCCTGTCTCAGTCCCGTATCAGAATGATGCCATTTTACCAGTATCACACTCAGAGCAGTTTTCTACATTTTAAAACACGTATTGCCCATGAATTTGCTTTGGTAATTTCATGTTTAATGCTTCTTTAAAAAGGATGCATGCTGTGTGTATATTAGCAGAGCTAAAGTTGGATGAATGACAATGTGAACCTGTGTTGATGTCTGCTTTAGGCTTGTCTTAACATAATTTGTCAATATTAATAGATGCATTGATTTTATCCCAATTAAGTTGTAAAATGAGGTAATATTGGTTAGAGTTCGGCTCAGGGGAGGCAGCGACCAATTACCAATATTTAGCAATACTTCAAAATTGCCCAAATTAATCAGAAAATCATTACATTGTTTTTCTCTCCAGTACACATAGAACTTGTTTTCAAGATACTCAATTTTCCAATCTAGATTAGAAGAAATATAAACAATAGTTGAATGCGTTGTACTGAAACATATATAATCGTACGCTGTCCTCTGGTCCAGGTTTTCAAAACATACGTTGTTTAGGACTTCTGAATTTCAGTTCTATGACTGCTAAACAAATGAATGATGACTATAAAATATGGATCAGAAGAGCCAGACGAGAGGGAGGTGGTGCCCAGTGTAGATTTTTGCGCTCCACAATGATGCACCTTTAAAATAATCACCCGTGTCAGAGCGTTGTCTAGGGAGGGGAGTCCCTGGCGTGGGCTCCTTATTGCAAGTGGCAGGATCAGAGGCTATGTATCAAAATGGAAGTGATGCAATGTGACATGTGTCAGGGTGGATTGGAGAGCATTTATCTGCAAAAAAAAGGAAAGCCCTGAACTGGAAAATGAAAGGCCAAGACGGTCCTTCCTTTTGCTGGAGGGAGAATATAAATTCCAAGCTCGGATGCAGGGGAGATGAGTCGTAGAAGAGGCGGCGGGGTGAGGGGGGAGGGGTCGGTGAAAATATTCCTGAATTGTGCCAGAGCGAATCCCACATATGCCGGGAGAGTGCACTAACCCCAGTGCTCCAACTGCCCCTACTTTAGCGATAACTCTGCCCCCTACTCAAGCTGATGATGAGAGCCTGACAAGTTTAGAATGAATGCATGACCTTTATCAATTTCATATGAGCTTTACGCTGGTGATCATACCAGCAACGGCTCTCCTGTGGCATGTCTTAAAATACGACACCGCATCCATCCTCCAGGCCAGTCATGTCCAGCTCAATGGAATAATATTTATAGGACTGCAAGTATAACCTATTCATTGCCCACTATATATCACTGCCTTTGAGCTTCAATATGTTACAAAGAAATAAAATGGTTTAGGTTTAGGGGTTTGCGGAGGGAAAAGCTGAGGATCCTTGCGCTGTTATAGTAAAGAGAGATGCTGCGTTACATAAATATGATGTTTACTGCCCGCGTGTTTGTGCAACGTGCTTTGGAAAAGCTAACAATGCATGAGGACATCAGATGCACGACGAGGTCTGTTGCGCCGTCTGCGATCGAACTCTGGCGGCTCTCAACTAAAACATACATATTTTATTTATCGCTGGCTGATAAGTATTGTAACATTGTATGTCATGAAGGCAAGGCAAGTTTATTTTTATAGCACAATTCATACATACACAAGGCAATTCAAAGTGCTGAACAAAACAAGAAAGCATTAAAAACATAAATAATCACAGTACATTAAAAAGAAAGATACAAATATAAAATCCCTCAGTTGTATGCACAGCCAAACAGAACTGTCTTTAACCTGGTTTTAAATATTGTCAGAGAGGAGGCCTGTCTCACAGATTGTTCCAGCTTTTAGCAGCATGAATCTGAAAAGCAGCCTCCCCATGTTTAGTCCTGACTCTGGGCAGTAACAGGAGTCCAGTCCCTGTGCTCCTCAGAGTCCCAGCAGGAGTCCAGTCCCTGTGCTCCTCAGAGTCCCAGCAGGAGTCCAGTCCCTGTGCTCCTCAGAGTCCGGGCTGGTTCATATGGGACTAACATGTCACTAATGTATTTTGGTGCGAGGCCATGGAGAGACTTGTAACAAGCAGAGCTGTTTTAAAGTCTATTCTCTGAGCCACAGGAAGCCAGTGCAGAGACCTGAGAACTGGACTAATGTGGTCGTACTTCCTGGTTCTAGTCAGGACTAATGTGGTCGTACTTCCTGGTTCCAGTCAGGACTCGAGCTGCTGCATTTTGAATGTACTGCAGCTGTTTTACAGCCTGTTTGGACAGACCTGTGAGCAGGCCATTTGCAGTAGTCTAACCTACTGGAGTCAAATGCATGGATAAGAATCTCCAAGTCTGCTTTAGACACTATGTTTTTGATCCTGGCAATGTTTTTTAGATGGTAAAAAGCTGCTGATGTTACTGATTTGATGTGGCTATTAAAATTTAAGTCTGAGTCCAGTATTACCCCTAGATTTCTGACCTTGTTTGAAGGTTTTAGGGAGAGAGACTGGAGGTGACAGATGACGCTCTCTCTTTGTTTCCGAGGACCAGTTTTGTCTGCGTTTAGCTGAAGGAAGTTGTTTTGCATCCACTCACTGATCTGTTGGATACAGTGAAGGAGTGAGTCCACTGGTCCATGTTCTCCTGCAGTCAGTGAGACATAGATCTGAGTGTCGTCCTCATAGTTATGATAGGACACTTCGTTTCTGCGTATTAACTGACCTAACGGCAGCATGTAGAGGTTGAAAAGAAGAGGTCCCAGGATCGACCCCTGTGGTACTCCACAGGTCAGGGCAATATGATCTGAGACACATGAAATAGGGAGCACACATTGTTGCACACGGTAAGATAGGCACCGCTGTTAGTTTTGGCCCCAACGCACAGGCCATTGTTTTTAACATTTGACTTGAATTTGAACTCCAACCTTAGCAAGAACGTCAGCTTCTCTGGACAATTCTTATTTATATAGTTTATCATACATCATTATAGCAACATGCAAACTGACAAATATTATAGCATGAAAAATAAAGAGGAAAAGGTCCGAGTAACTTTCCTTCCTTTTGGTCCAAAGAGATGCTCTTTTTGTTCAGAAACATCTAAAGAGTGAATAAAAGTAATGATTTGTTTAGAATATTTACATAATGTCATGATATGTAGCATTTATGGACATTTATCATCATTTATGGACATTGGTCATCTGCCCCTTATAGACCAATGGCTCTATATATTTCTATCGTTGCATTTCTTGTGTTGAACTGTTGAGTCTCTGACCTGTGTTGGCGAATGCAATGGTTTTGTTAAGTCCTCCGAGAAAAATACTGTTGTAGTTTAGGGCAATACAAGAATAGATTGAATTTGATTTAATGTAATACATATAAACAGTCAAAAATAAAAAAGACACACATAGATTAGTGTCAAGCTCCATGTCTAAACCCGTTTAATCAAACACATGTGTAATTGTTTTTGTTGTTGTTGTCGACCGAAAAATGAAAATAGATATCATGACACGACTTTGCAGTACTTTACAGAGGGTTTTACAGATTCTATCTAAACATGTTCAGCTTTATAGACATCACAGGTCTTGAACGGCTGTTACTGCTGCGTCCTGTTCTGTTTGCCAAAGTATGTACTCAGGGATGTCCTAATAAAAGGTTTTAAAGGAGCGTGTAAATGTCAAAATGCCCATTGAGATATATTACAAGAACATCAAGCATTCAGGCTGATTTACATAGGACATGCCCTGAATACAACACTTCCTACTCACAACTTCCTACTATGCCATATTTGAAAGTCATGTGCCAGAAGTTTGGGTTATTACTGGAGCTGGAGCTTAAAACCACTCCAGGTTTGTCATTTTGATGAGGGAACAATGTTTTGACATGGTTGAAAAGTATATTTCAAGCTTTGGAAGTTCACATTACATTCTCTCGCTTAGTGCAATTAGATTTGGTTTCAGTCGGCACCTCGGCTCCCGCCAATCTAATCTCATTACAATGATGCTAACTGCTACACTTCTACGATACGCTGTTGAATTGTGAACTATGCTTGCTGGCAGTCGTCACGACTGAATTACAAGTTTGAATTGTGTACAGTCATCAATTTTTTATAATTTTTGATGAAGAGACATTTCTGCATCCACATTCTCTGCATTAATTTGTAAATTAAGCACTTTGATTAATTATAGTTTGAGTGTATCAGTGACTATGTGCCCGACAGACCGACTATATGTATTCAGATTGAGACAACACAGAAAAAGAGATTATAATTTAAAGTGTTTTGGCATGTCCTTAGGATTTTTTATAAATTAATGTTTTGTCTTTTAATCCCTTGGCACCAATACCAAAAATCAGATGCATTTATGAATCACAGAATACAGTATATATACTGTAGATTTGGCCATTATTTATTATAATCCCGGAGTCCTGAGAGACATAGGGAACAACACTGTACATGTGGTATCACTCAGCCCCTGGGCTGTCTTTCATTGAAAATGCAATCACATTATAAAACCACACTGTAAAACGTAAAACCACGCAGAGATCTATTTGTCCTGCTCTTTATATTAAAAAAAATAAGACCAAATTCAAGTCTTGCAGGAAAATGATTAATGAGGACTGTTGCAATTATAATAGGTATTTCAAAATAAAACACTATATTTTTGAATGGGCAAAACAATAAAAAAAAAATATTATAGAAAGCTGAATCCCAATAAGTTTAATATTGGATCTATTCTGAAACATTATTCTGATACAACTGTGGAAAATACAGTATTTTCCTAAGTTCTACGTATTAAAAAATTGATTCTGAAATAAACAACTAAATAAAATGGAAATCACTGTGTACACACCCCTATGTACACTTGTTTTCTATCTGAGTAAATACTTGTGATGGACAGCTCTCTGGCAGTCCCGGCCTGACCTGGATTTCGGAGTCACGCTACAGTAGCACATGCAGACTCAGCAGTATTTGGGTCTCATCGGCAGAAAAGAGCACCCTTGATGTGAATGCTGATCTCCCATCTGCGCCTCACCTGCGGTTTGGGGAGAGCTGCACATCTGAATGTACAGCGCACACTACCCCTGGAGGCTCCATATTCTGACAGGGCCAAACACGATTAACAGAAAAGGACTTTTTCTCATGCAGGCCAAGAAAACAGCAGCTTTTATGGGAGAGCATTTATGGTAAGGCAAAAGAGCTGAGTTCTGTTCTTGAATCTTTTGGTCTCACTCAGCATGTGAGTGGCCCCACCCACAGCAGAGGGCACACTCTAGACCTGTTAGTTACTAAGGGGGTGAATATTTCAAATGTAAACGTGGTCAATGTTGCGCTTTCGGATCATTTTTGTGTATTTTTTGACATGTGTTTCACTAACAAACCACCAGTGGACTCTGCAACTGTACGAAGAAGACACATAAATGAAAATACGGGTGAACTATTTATGGGAATGATAAACTTTGAGAATGCATCGTATTCTACTGTAGATGAACTGTTTAACTCTGTCACCTCTAGTGTTTTGAATGTTCTGGACACCATCGCTCCTGTGAAGGTTAAAATAGTGAAAAATAAGCAGAAGGCGCCGTGGGCTAAAGCAGACTCGGTCAGGGCACAAAAGAGAGAGTGCCGGAGGGCCGAGCGGAAGTGGCGCAAGTCCAACCTCCAGGTTGATTACGAGATCTTCAAAGATAAGTTGTGCGAGTTTAACCAGGTGCTACGTAGTACGAGAGAAAGGTATTTTTCTGAAATGATTGAAGGCTGCAGCAACAATCTGCGTGTTCTGTTTTCAACAGTTAATAGATTAACAAACCCCTCAGTTCAGATGCCATTAGAGCTAACTTCCAAACGTAAATGTAATGAGTTTGCACATTTTTTCAATGACAAGGTTCAAGGCATCAAAAACGCCATTGTCTCCAATCCACAGATAACCATCCAACAGCCTAAAAGGCTCTTTGAGCTAACTTACTTTGCACCTGTAAATGATCAAACTGTCCAAGAGATAATCTCCAGTCTGAGCGCCTCCACATGTAGCCTGGATGTACTACCCACTATATTTCTAAAGTCTGTTCTGAGCAGTCTGTTACCTTCACTCACACAGATAGTAAACATGTCCCTTCATTCTGGAATATTCCCAAAGGCCCTGAAAACTGCAGTCATCAGGCCCCTGCTTAAAAAGAGCACACTGGATGCTACGGTACTTAACAACTACCGTCCCATCTCAAATCTGCCATTTATGGGGAAAGTCCTTGAAAAAGTTGTCTACCAACAGATAAATAGATTTCTTATAATCAACAACTCATTTGATATGTTTCAGTCCGGCTTTAGACCCCACCACAGCACTGAGACTGCTCTCGTCAAGGTTACAAACGATATCCGGCTAAACACTGACGCAGGCAAAGTCTCAATCCTAATCCTGTTAGATCTGAGTGCTGCCTTTGACACTGTCGACCATGAGATCCTCTTACAGAGACTAGAGGACTGGGTTGGCGTCGCTGGCACCGCCCTAAGTTGGTTTAGGTCTTACCTTGAAGACAGGAAGTACTTTGTGGAGATTGGAAACTGTGTCTCAGATCATATGGCCCTGACCTGTGGAGTACCATAGGGGTCGATCCTGGGACCTCTTCTTTTCAATCTCTACATGCTGCCGTTAGGTCAGTTAATACGCAGAAACGAAGTGTCCTATCATAACTATGCAGACGACACTCAGATCTACTCCTTCACTGTATCCAACAGATCAGTGAGTGGATGCAAAACAACTTCCTTCAGCTAAACGCAGACAAAACTGAAATGATTGTCTTTGGTCCCCAGAAACAAAGAGAGAGCGTCATCTGTCATCTACAGTCTCTCTCCCTAAAACCTTCAAACAAGGTCAGAAATCTAGGGGTAATACTGGACTCAGACTTAAATTTTAATAGCCACATCAAATCAGTAACATCAGCAGCTTTTTACCATCTAAAAAACATTTCCAGGATCAAAAACATAGTGTCTAAAGCAGACTTGGAGATTCTTATCCATGCATTTGTCTCCAGTAGGTTAGACTACTGCAATGGCCTGCTCACAGGTCTGTCCAAACAGGCTGTAAAACAGCTGCAGTACATTCAAAATGCAGCAGCTCGAGTCCTGACTAGAACCAGGAAGTACGACCACATTAGTCCAGTCCTCAGGTCTCTGCACTGGCTTCCTGTGGCTCAGAGAATAGACTTTAAAACAGTTTTGCTTGTGTACAAGTCTCTCCATGGCCTCGCACCAAAATATATTAGTGACATGTTAGTCCCATGTGAACCAGGCCGGACTCTGAGGAGCACAGGGACTGGACTCCTGTTAGTGCCCAGAGTCAGAACTAAACATGGGGAGGCTGCTTTTCAGATTCATGCTGCTAAAATCTGGAACATTCTTCCTGAAGATGTGAGACAGGCCTCCTCTCTGACAATGTTTAAAACCAAGTTAAAAACGGTGCTGTTTAGCTGTGCATACAACTGAGGGATTTTATATTTTTATCTTTCGTTTTAATGTTCTGTGATTATTTATGATTTTAATGCTATCTTGTTCAGCACTTTGAGTTGCCTTGTGTATGAATTGTGCTATACAAATAAACTTGCCTTGCCTTGCCTTACTCTGCGTCTGCTTTGTCATGCCCCCTTGCACTCTGCTCTCCACCAATCTATAATATGATCAGTATTTATCACATCACGTTTTAATGTTGATATTCTGAGTGGCAAGCGGAGGTGGGAGGATATCATTGTTTTGCAAGGCGAAGTTCTCCGCTTGTCCATAAAGCATTCAACACTGTCTGTAAATGTCAGCAGAGATGTAATGTAAGGAACTGGATATCAAACACAATCCATCGGGTTCCAGCTCAAGGTTCAATCACTAGTTTTCACATGCATGTACGTATCTTAAGGTCAGATTTTTTTCAGACAGAAAAGTGAAAAAGAGAGGACCATCTTCACTCAGCTAATCCTCTATCAGCAAGATGATGATGAAGGCAGTATATTCTGGAGTAAGTAATTCTGCACCTCTATGTCCTTAGCCCATTTTGCAATGTCCACAAGTCAGCCGGCTAACATGCTTTTAAATGTTCACAACAGCTAATTTTGGAGACTTCAACCAAGTATCACATGTGCGTTCTGAAAGGCTACTGACTCCAAATGCATTAGATCTGTTGGTTTAACAACTAGATCAACAAGATCTGGCTCCACTCAAATTAACAGGGGCACTGTTAAAAGTGTTTTCATTTTGTTTATTCATTTTTGACAAATGTATTGGTTACTTTAAGTTATTTATTACAGTAAACATGATAATGGCTCTGGCAGTAAATCTTGTATAATTGAATGAGAAAATATATGAATACACAAGAAAAAAAAAAAGGAGGTGTTTGAATATATTCTATCATTTTATTCAACATCAAACGGGGCACGCTGCTCTTTCTTACACGTGGCAAGGGGAAAATGACTTGACCAAATATAGTGGTAATTCACTCAACAGTTCTTTGGACAAGAACAGCATGACAAGCTTTATAGCAAAAGTTCTTAACATCAACAAGTTTTGGCTATGGTTATGTGGACAACCTTCACTGAAGTAGTCCTTTTAAAAATATGTATAAAAATGTTAAATATATTCAAAGGTTAACAACTTTAGAAGAATATTCTGAAAACCTGAAGTTTGTTTTTACCCTTTGAAACTTTCTTGTCTTCTCTGTAGTGAAAAGCCAACGCGGGTCATTGAGGTCTGTTTTTTTGAGAAAACAGTGTTGAAACAAAATCTCAACGATTCTGCATAACCTTAAATCTCCTTTTAACATTCTTACAGCAACACTCTTTAGTCCTTACTGCTGTGTTGAAAGCCAGCTTATTTACAAGTGCAGCAGTATGCACATTTGACACCAGACGCTTTCATAGTCACAGTAAAACAGCAACACCTAACAGAACAGGAGTCTATTTAGCAGCTGTAAATGGATTGTGATAAGTGTGCGACCCGCTGGCGTGACAATAGTTTAAATGTACACAAACTGCATGGAGACACACCAGTGCTGTCCTCAGACTCACCCCCCATCACGTTCCATTTACTCCCAGATACTAAACAGATGCTTGTTTGGAATAAATGCATTGGAAATTAAAGCTCCGGATAATGAAATGGCGATGCTGTCGTGCCTGCTTATACGCGCTGAATATTACCAGGTCCATTTCAGCCCCTTCTAATCAATACAAGCTTTTACTGTATGAGCTATCGAGTCGGTGGATGCAAGTGAATTAAATCAGCAATATTTTATGTCTCAAACAATGCGAGCGTAATTCTTTCCCCTGGCTTTAGCGCGCTCCCAAATCTCTGCGCGTTAAAGCAGCTTTTGTTACATAATGTTTATTTGCATTGGCTGGGCCCTTTGAAGGATCTCCTGTCCGTGCAGCTTTCACAGAAAACCTGAATTGGCAGTTCAATTCAAAGCTGGTAGAAGTATTGGAGGCTGTGTGATTAGACTGTACAGTACTCTGCAGAGGATTTTGACAGTGGAATGAGACTCCTTGAATATCAAACGGGGGAGGAGAAGTTCGGGAGGAGAATACACATAGCGAGGCGTTTCTATTTCTTATGCTTCTGGAGTATATTCACGTAGAGCAAATTTACTGTTGCAGAAAGACAATCTATCTTTATCTTTTGCAGCAGCTATAGGCAAACTTTTGTAAGGCTAACATTTGTAAATGTTAGCCTGACAGGGTGTTTGATTAACTATAAAGTCAAGCTAACTAGAATATAGTATATAACTGTAGCAACAATTTCATTTTTTTTTTTCATAATTGCGTCTATACTTTTTTTTTTACTTTTTTGTTCCGAGGTTGCCTGTGAAGGGTTTTACACCATTTCTGGTTATAACGGTGGTCTAATGTTTCAGGGAGGAATATCTTCATGCTTTACAACGTGACTTATGAGTAAAGATGAAACATGGAATATGGTCCGGATGAGCAAAACGTCTGACAGAGGAAGATGGATACAATCTGCTTTCAGGTCAAACATACCCTGTCCATGAGTACGTTTACACAGCTCATAGTGAAAACCAGAAAAATCCTTCTAATGTGTAATAAGTTCAATCGCATCCATCTGCG